TTTTTAAATATTTAAATAGAATGGTCTCCTCAACTATGCTATTGGTTCACTCTGGAACACACTAATACTAGTACTACTCGTGTGAGAGTGTCGCCCTCTAGTGTAAAGAAGTTCTAGATCAGTTTCGATATACATTGAAACCTTCGACACACCATATCAAGCAAGTTTGACGCGCACTCCGAAATACCAAGAAATCCATTTAAATCACGACAAAATTAATATGAGACCATTACAAGAATAAATCCTATCGGTGGCCAAAGTCATCATTAAAATGTGTAAGAAATGGTATATCACGTAACGTACACACAAACAAAAAGATTTTGCTCTACAACAGAAATAGCGACTTGTATTCTGACGTAATTAATAGAGGCCAACACGGATCACGGGAACAATCCTTAATGATTGCAAAAGTAATATCAAAACCCGAGAAAACTGGCGACGATATCGTGAAACATATACGAAAAAAAAACCTATTTGAAATTTCAAAAAAGGAATGCAAAGATTACCAGAGGGAGACTTTGTACAAGTCGTTTGCTTGAGTACCACTGTCGCATTCGTGTTTCAACCGTAAAGCAGTTGTGTTTTTTTTTTTTTTTTTTTTTTTTTTTTTTTTTTGAACTTAGAATGGCAAACAAGCTGATGGAAAGTGGTAACCGTCAGTTTACCATGGACATAACAGAGTATACTGTTTCGGGTTGCCATACTGGTTATTCCTCTGTGTAAATTCACGCCACGTGTTTGCATGGCTGTTTCAGTTTGAAGGGTGGGATATGGCGTGAATTTATAGGGTACAGAAGAATAACACCGGAGTCCTCAGGAATGGCAACGCATGGGGATTTATCATGGGCAAAACAGTATACTCTGTTATATCTTTGGTACTGCTCATGTCTATAGGCGACGGTTACCACTTTTCATCAAGGGGGCCGTCAGCTTGTTTGGCATTCTAAGTTGTATAAAAAAATGTAATTGTTACCACGGAGTGCCAGTATTAGTTCAGTCAACATTATTAAACCATCACTTAGATAAGATATATAGCATTCTAGGTTTCGGAGCTAATGTCCTACTGACTGTATATAATTATATTTATAGAATTTAACTCGTCACCAGCTTTTCGGAGACAGACTCGGCTCGTTTGTTTTGAGTGGGCGTGATCAGTATTGACATTATGACTAGTACTATTATAACAACCCATTAACACTTCGGTTTTTTTTATAACACGACCATGATAACGTCTGTGCCACTGTTATATGCTGACGGGGTACCAGTGATGGATGGGATGCGGGGATGACGATGATGGTATATGAAACTGCAATCATACTTATGGGCCACATAGAAACAGCACCATAACATTACAGAAGACATAATACCCATATTGCCCCTAATGCATTGTCAACCGCGACGACTATGATGTTAGGGGGGAAAGGTATTGTTATAATTTGGGGTAAGTCATTGTATTGTGGGGTAAGCCGACCTCAACGCGGTTCCTCCTGGAAACTATCGTGATTAATTGTAATGGAATTCGTCACGATGGGCTAACTGACCTGCTTTCATCGTCACCTATCATCCATCACTGGTGCCCCGCCAACGTATACCGATAGCGCAGGCGGGGCTACAATTCCATTATCACCCATTAAAAAAAGACTATTATATTATCCTCCTTTGTTCTCTATACCCTGTAATTGCACAGCTGCTGTTAAAGACAAGAAGTTCTTAGTGATGGAGTCTAACAACTGTATTGCTAGCAATACACCCGATCAGATTGAACTCCACGCGGCTCTTCCTGGAAACCATCGTAGTTAATTTTTGTGGAATAGATCACGATGGGCCAACTGATTTACTTTCATCTTCACTCATCACCTCTCATTGGTGCCTCGTCAGCGTATATCGTTAGCGTATGCGGGGTTACCACCCCATTTTCACATTGGAGGACAGGGATTGTTAGTAAAGAGATGAGACTCATTACTAGCAATATAACCTAACAGGTCGACCTCCACGAGATTTCCCCTGAAAACCATTTTGGTTAATTTTTGATGAATTTATCATGATGGGCTAACTAAGCTGCTTACATCTTCATTCATCAACTCTCACTAGTGCCTCGCTGGCGTAAACAATTAGCACATACGGGAATACTACCCCATTTTCATCCAAAACCAGTTCCATTGCAGGGAAAAAGGGATTATTAATAATGAGGTCTAGTAGCCCCATTGCTAGCAATATACCTCCAGGTGATCACCCTTGAAAATCATTGTGGTTAATTCCTAGTGAATTCTCACAATAGATAAACTGATGTCACTTCATCCTCACCTACCATTATTCACTGATAAGCAAATAATGCGGAATAGCAGTGAATATGAATAGTGCAGGCTTACATTTTCATGTTCAGCCCATTGAAAACACAGTTGCTATGCAGCAGAATCACAAGTGGTACAGAGGAACCCGAGCAGATGACTTTTTATATAACCTCCATCTTTTTTTTATAATACAGGGATAAATAACAATGCAGTTCACCTGACAGCCAGTAAATGTCCACTGCCAGTCATGAGCACCTACAACACCCGACGAATTTCTGTGCTGCTGAACATTTCAAAAGGAATATGTTCTTTTCTTGAAGGTTATATTGAATAGATTGAGTTATATCATCAAGGTAATCATGACCATCAGCATTGAGGATATTGATTCAAAGATAATATATTGATATACTGTACTGATACCTAACAACAAATACCTGTAGACAGAACATCTATCAAACTTAAATTAATATACAAAATTAATAAGTAATTCTGGGACAGACCATGGTAATACTACTGAAAATTGTATAAATTCATAATATTATTGAATTTCTTTGATGTCATATATTTATCACCGGCGCCAAACCCCTCATGTGAAAGGAGGGGTCTCATGATAAATATTTATTTGTATTTGTGTACGATATCTTATCGAGCTATATATAGCTTGTTATTTTTAGAACTGGCGATGCTAAAGTTGAATTCGGACACCAAAATGTGGCTTTAAAGTATTTTATACATTCTACAAGTCGGACAATGCTTGATTGTAATCTGGGAATCCCAAGATTAGAACCCACCCAAATCATACATTAGGTTTTAATATGTGCAGGGCAATGTAGGGATGCTAAATGGTATGATTACCACAACAGCTACAGTTGACAAAAAACTCCAACTACCTCATTAGTATTAGAATAAGAAAGATTATTTATTTTATTATTTTTTATTTACTTAATTGAAAAATGACTATTACTTGTTTCATGTTTCAGAGAGCATACAAAGCTATCATCTGGTAAGCCACATCAAAGGCATTTAAGGGCCTAGAAACTTGACATGAGAAGGCACCACCATCATACCGCAGCAGTAATAAGAAGTGGGCCATCTGTCTAATACATTGTTAAAAATATATTCCTATTGAATTCTACAAAATAACCACTTTGTGATGAATAAATTATAATATTCATTAATGAATCCACATTTTTATTACATACTGCAATTAAAAGAATTAAAACATAAATAAATTATTAATTTCATTGCACTAATATGGCTAAATTTCCAAGATATTAGTAGGGTTTCCTTTTGAGTTCACTATATATGCTTATTTTCTAAGCTTTAAAACCACAGCTATATGAAACAAATATTAAAGCATTTCTCCACCTGTGTATTCACACAAATCAGTTATAATCTCCTTTCACAATTATAATATTACTTGTGATTAGGGTGTCTCTGACCCAATGAATTAAGATATAACACATGTAATCTATTTTTGTACCAAATTTCATTCAAAACCATTCAGCTGCTTAAATGTAGTCGAGTCACAATCATCCAAACATTATCACAAACCTTAATATTTCTGATACTAGCTTTTCTTGTCTTATGACATTATTATCATCATAAAAGTCATCAACTGTTCACCGCTGAATGTAAGAGGGGCTTTGCTAATTGTTGCCACACTTGATAGAAGAATTAGCAACAATCTTATGACATATATAAATTAATGTAAAAAAAAACCTGGTAACTATATGCAATATATTCAATACATATCTGTTACACCAGATTGATTGGTTGCTATGCAATGCTTATAAACCTTTCTTGCTGACAATGCTTACCTTAGATACAGTATTGAGTAACATTAACTAACACATTTTAACTTACATATCTAGGAGCTAAGTAAGAACAAGGACAAATTCATGGTTAAATTAATATTACCACTTGTAACAGTTGCTTAATGCAACTTAGTAACAAATGTTCACCTCAAGGAGAGGAAACATATGCTAGCATCCCCTCATTGAGCTCAAGTTTTAGAATGCAGAAGCAAAGTTTAGTGAACAAAGAACTCAGCCCTCTTGGTTACTATCATGTTAACTCTACTTTTTTGCTTTTGGTTCTTGATTACATGGAGCATGCAAACACTTTAATCAAAATGAAAATGCAATATAAAATATTGCTTGATGTACAAACAGGAACTTGTCTTCACAGCAGCAAATTTAATAAACATATAATAAATTAATATTCACTTACCCATTAAGCAGATCATACCATATTAAGATCCTGTAAGAATGAAAACCAGAGCCACATTACACATGATGTTCTATTCTGCTATGTAAGTTTCCCTGTTGTCTAATCCTTCATTACACACAGTCTGAAGAAGTAGTAAGCACTATTAACATATTCAAGCACATTTTTCATTAGGTTGTAGCAGTCACATTGACAGTTCCTTTGTTACCAGATTCCTTTGTCCATGAGACACAATATGCACTTATCCACTGCATAGCAACACCAGACACAACAAAAATGCACTTTGCTGACACTTCTAGAACTCACAGATCACAGACACTCACGAAACAAAGAAGCACTACAGAACGAAGGTTAAAATCGACGTTCGCGAAACAATGCGGGTTACGGCCGGAGTTGGACTAAAATGCGACACCAAGTAGAGTTAGAGACAGGTCAGTGGGAGAGGTAGACGCGCGAGACCCGGGTGGAGCGGCCACTGACCTGCCATGGTGTCGCGCCGCTCAGCTGACGCTGTTGCGCGGTAGACAAAGGGCGCGAGGGTGGCAGGCGCGAGGGCGCGTTGCTGCGATGCGCGCGCGAGCGTGCCGTCGTGCCGCCGTGCTCGTGGAGCGAGAGCTGCGAGCGCGCCAGCCGCCCCGGCCGCCGCCGACGGCCCACCCGACGACGAGAGGTCGCAGACAAAAAAATCGATAGGTCGTCAACCTCCGGCGGCGGTCGGCCGGAGCCGGTCCCGGGCGGGACGTCGCGCCGCCGCTCGCTCTCTGAGGGACCGTCCTGCACGAGGAACCCTCCGAGGCCTCACAGCCGAAGAAATATCAGAACCGACTTCGCCATTTTGAAACAGGAACAATGAGATATTTACTTTTGACCGCTAGAATGGCCGAGAACGTTATTCGCGACCATAAACGACCCGCCCTAGGGGTTCAGGAGACTCCTGACGTTCCACCGCATTGAATAAATACGTACTCTGACTAGAAATCCCCTCGTCACCGCTGCCGATATCCGACATCTCAATCCACACCGAATTCTACAGGCGATCCGCCGATCCTTTTTTGAGACTCTCGACAACTCAAATTGTCTATGATTTTAAAGCCATCAAACGTAGGTTTTTTATATTGCCAACATACAACAAAATTAAAAAAAAAACTTTAAAATACGTATGTTATGACTTCAACAAGATATTATTTAAAGAAAATGTTGTGAAAAATACGTTTATTAAATAAAAATTATTCTAAAAGAATGCAAAAGTACATGCATCTCAATTTTATTATATTGCACAACAATTTTATATATATACATTACACTCAAAAAATTTTCTGACATTAAAAATAACCCATTTTACCTTTGTCTATAGTCATCTGAAATTGACATTCTTTGTCAGCAATGGCATTAGCTAGACTGATTTATTTTACGCGTTCAAAGATACGGAACTTCAAAATTGTCACTAGTGTTTACCATAGATAATAAATTCCACTTTAATATAGGAACCTATAGAATGGTAAAGATAGATAAGTACCTAATTACAAAATAAAGTACCTAATCATGTTATTAATTAAATGAATGATTTGTTGATTGTACTAATTTATAAATTAGAAACTAAAATAATTATTTTGTCGTATATGCAAATAAACCTCAATCTAATTAGTATAACATTTACATATCTACCAATATATAATTGTATGTCATTACATATATATTGTGAAAAAGTACTATTCCAGTAAATGTCATAAAAACACCTAGCTACTCTATAATTTTTAATTCTGTAAACCACTCTTATTCTCTGCAATCGCAAACATTGCGCAAAATTGCACAACCGTTTACAATATTGAAAAGTAAGATCTCTTACGTTACCCTAGTTCTTCAATTGCTCAACAGAGGCAGCACCAACGAAATGTAAAATATGTATTGAACTTTCTATTGAATATAATAGATATGATTATAATAGATATAACAGAACGAAACATCCTTATAAACAAAACACAAAAGTGTGAGCAAGAACGAAAATAATTTTCTTTCTCTACGTCCGCTGTTATTATTAGATGATTCAACTTATTTGCAAAAGTAACTGTTCAAATTAAATACCTAACTATTATAATAAAAAAAATATATAGTATTAATTAAGATTGTGTTCTACTAAAAAACCGACTATAATTTTAACAAAACCAGTTATTTTTATTTAAAAACTAAACTACGAAAGCGATTTTTTTAAAAATTCTATGAGACCAATCCGTAAAATGTTCTTTTATGTTAAGTTTATGAAGGTGATTAAGTTATGAAGTAATAAAAATATATATACCACCGAACTAAGTGTGATTTTACGAAATAATACAATAAAGAATTATTTCCGTATCAACGTATATTCGATACCAATTTTAGACAACTGCAAAAACAAAAAAAGAACTATATTCAAATTAAGAACTATTTCTTTTTCACCCTCTCCTAATTTTTACGTTTACGTGAAAATTATAACAGATAAACATACATTTTACTATTACAATAAATCTCACACTTTTCACATGACAGTTTAACTTTTTACGAATTAGCACAACTTAATACAAGTATTATTATATATAAGAAGTTACATTACTATAATGACAAAAAACAATATTAAATAACAAACTTAGCAAATACTTGAGATCAATAAACTTTTATGTTTGTTAAATTTTATTTTTTTCAATGCTTTTGTAAATATATCTGCAATTTGTATTTCTGTTGGACAATAGGTAATGCTAAATTCATTATTTTGATACAACTCGTGTATATAATGATAACGAACGTCTATGTGCTTGGACCTCTTATTAAACACACCATTTTTAATTAATGCAATAGCGCTCTGATTGTCAATATGAAATGAAAGTTTTATATCAATATTCAGATCTTTAAGAAGAGATTTTATAAACATAGCCTCCTTACAACATTCAGCTGCAGATATAAATTCTGCTTCTGTAGAAGACAACGATACAATTGCCTGTCTTCTGGAGCACCATGAAATAGGACCACCTGACATCATTAAAACATAGCCCGTTGTACTACGCCTTGTTTTAAGATCGCTTGCATAATCTGAATCACAGAAAACGGTAAGTTTTAGATCAGAACCGAATTTGTAGCACAAACCTTCTTCTAAAGTACCAGAAAGATATCTAAAAATTCTTTTTATGGCAATTATATCCTTCTTTTCAGGATTCTCCATACACCTACTAGCTTTACTAACAGCAAATGCTATATCTGGCCGAGTTCTGGTCGATAAATACAAGAGACTTCCTACGGCTTCTCTATAAGGATAATTTGATTTTTCTTCTCCATAGTACTCTATTTCTCCATCTGACTCTATTTCACCCTCTCCTACGGGTGTGGGAACTGGTTTACATTTATCCATATTAAACTTTTTTAAAAGTGCTTTTGTATATTCAGTTTGAGTCAAATGCCAACCTACTTCATTTACTTTTAACTCCATACCTAAATACAAAGAGGGTTCATTATAAGACGTAATCTCAAATTTCTCATTCAATTTACGTAGCAATTGCGTTAATTCTTCTGTTTTACCAATTACTACTCCATCATCAACATAAATAGCTAATAAAATTGACGCATCTTGGTTTTTATATATACATGGCTCATTTTTTAATTGGTCAAATCCTAATTCTTTTATTTTTTCATTGAACTTTTCATACCATCTTTTAGGAGACTGTCTAAGTCCGTATAATGACTTCAATAACTTACAAACTTTATTTTTTGAATCATATTGTACTCCCTTAGGAATTTTCATGAAAACTTGCTCGTCTTCCCTTAAATTTCCATTAAGAAACGCTGTTTTTACATCGAACGTCATTAATTTGTAGTTCTTGGCTGCGGCTATAGCAAACAAAGTTTTAATAGCATTTTGAGATGCAACTGGACTAAATATATCATCATAATCTACCTCTTGTTGTTCATTTCCTCTAACTACTAGTCTGGCTTTATGTTTTCCGTTTTCTTTAATTCTGAACACCCATTTATTAGAAAGTATTTTATGTCCTTTCGTCTCAGTTTTATCTACTATTTTCCAAACATTATTTTCTTGTAAAGAATTCAGTTCACTTTCTATAGCCTTTTCCCATTGTTCTTTTTCAGAACTTTTCAATGCTTCTTCGTAAGTAAGCAAAACATAATCCTTATATTTTTCTGGTAATTTTTTAGTTCTTTTTGATGTTATTATTGTTTCTTCAGCCTCTCTTTGTCCCGTTTCTTCTAAAATTCTTTTCTCTGCCTCTTTTTCTTCTTGTGGTATTACTTCTTCAATTTGATCATCTTGGTTATTTGAGTAGACTTTTACATTAATAGTTTCTGGTTTTGTAATTATTTCGGTGTTTATATTTTTACTATTTCTTTTTACGAATGTGATATCTCTCGCAACTATAACTTTTCTATTAACATCGTCCCAAAGTCTGTATCCGTTATTTGTATATCCGATCATCCTATATTTTATTGCTCTGGTTTCCAATTTTTTAGTTGATGGCAATTTTTTAGCGAAGGCATCACACCCAAATTCACGAATATTCGAAAGATTTGGTAGCTTTCCATTCCATAGTTCGAAAAGGAGTTTTATTATTTATAGACTCACTTGGTAGTCTATTGAGTAAGTATACGCTACAATAAAGAGCTTCACCCCACATTTCTTTTTCCATTTCAGCCATAAACAGCAATGAACGGATTTTTTCATTTAAGGTTCTATTTAAACGTTCGGCTTTACCATTTAATTGAGGACAATATGGTATTGAGTAATCTAGTTTTATTCCTTTTTCCTTACAATACATTCTAAAATTATTTGAAGTATACTTACCACCATTGTCACAACGAACTGTCACAACTTTCAAGTTGGTTTCACGTTCTGCTTCTGCAATAAAATTCTTTAAACAAGTAGAAACCTCGCTTTTAAATTTTAGTAGAAAAACCTTAGTGTAATGGCTATAGTCATCCAAAACAGTTAAGAAATATCTATTACCATTCCACGTTTCCATCTCAAAAGGACCACAAACATCTGTATGTAATATTTCTAGTTTTCTGCTGGCTCTAGTTCTTACGGTATTGAAAGGCAGTCTAGTTTGTTTAGCTTTTATACATACTTCACAACTTGCCTTCATACCTTCCTTATTTTCTATTTTTACACCATCCGCTACATTAGGTAAAATTTTTAAAATATTCTCACCTGGATGTCCTAATTTTCTATGCCAATTTTCTGCAGAATTATCATTTTCCTTTAATAAATATACTTGTTCTTCTATTTTTACTTCTTTTTCTAATTTAACTACAAATAAACCTGAGTCTTCTTTCTTACCAGTTATTACTTTACCATTGCTGCGAATCTCTACACCATGTTTATTAAATAGAACGGAACCACCATTCCTAACAATCTCTGGAACAGATAATAAATTACGCGAAAGATCCGGCACACATAATACGTTTGTTACATCACATTTAGTTCCAATAAAATCACCTACATATTGTGACTTCATACTAACATCTTTCTTAGCTATACCAACATCAATAGTCTTAGGTTTGATATTAGAAAGTAAAGTTTTGTCATTGACCATATGTACAGTACAACCAGAGTCGAGAACAAAACTTTCTGACATTTTAATTGTATTACGGCTAGAGGATAAAAAAGCAACATTATTATCGTACTTATTTTTTCTAAAAAAA